ATAGAAGCTAACATTTTTTTTTTTATTATCTTTTTTTTTTTTTTTTTTTACCAATTATTAATAGCATTAAGTATCATTAAAAAGGCATCACCTTTTTCTGTCTTTACTTTTATTATATTATTATTGTTGTCTTTTTCTTGACTTAGATCTTCTAATTTTTTTTCTTATTCTTTTTCTTTAGTAAATATGTTGAGTTCTTTTTCCAAATGTTTTATAAAACTATTAACATTATAGTAGATCCTTTTTTTATAATATTCTTTGCAGTAGCAGCAGCAATATTCTATATTTGTATAACAACTATTATAATAACCATGTCTACAAATTAAAACTTTACTATTATTCTTCAAAATTTTGTAATGATAGTTACAAAGATTAAATTCTAGAGAGAAATTTGAACTATAATCTGTAAAAAGACATCTTATATTCATAATTTTGTTTATAGTAGCCAGATAGTATTTAGATATATATTTTTTTTCATGAAGTTTGCTTTTTCTGTAGTTTTTAAAAATTTTTTGTAGGTAATTTAAAAGAAAAAACCCAGTTTTTTTAATTAAAAGTTTAATGTCGAGAAGGTGTAAAGATATCATCTTGATTAAAAAAAGGAGTTTTGCAATTTATCTTCACTTTGCATATCTGTAATGTAAAATATTAGTGCTTTAAACTTTAAATAAATTAAAAAAAAAGTATATATATAAGGAAGAGTAGGATATTATGATGCATTTAAGAATTGCTTATATAAAAAATTTTTAGAATTAGCATATTTATTTACATAATTTATTAAAATAGATTACTTAGTGAATTAACTATTTGTCAATAAAAGAAAAAAATCTATTTTAAAACCAAATAGTAAAATATAAGCTTTTACAATCTGCTCAAAAAATACTATATATGATTTTTATATTTAGAGATATTATAATGTACTATATTCAATATGTATTTTGTATTATATTATTGCATCCTTCCTCCAGACATTACCTAATGAGAAAATATTTTATAAAAATTAACAAAAACTTAATATTATCATAAGCAATGTTGAGTTTTACTTAGAGTTATTGTTAAAAAACAAGAATGTATCACAATACCCATCTGCATTATAATATCCTACTTCCCCTTATGTATATATATATATACCAATTATATAAGCCTATCATATAATACTTTTTAATATTAAATTTGTAAAGGTTTGTACATGAATCCTATTATATAAATTTTTAACATAATATTTGTTAAAATTTACCAAAAAAAATTTAATTGCTTCACTAAATGAGTAGTTATTGTTTTGTTAGTAAAATACATTAAATAAAAATGCAAGTAGTGTTTTGTTATAATTGTGATGCTGTCACTATAACATAAACGTCCAAATGCAGAATATTGTCTCTAAGTATTCAGTAAACAAATCAGATCGAAAAAGGGTAACATAAATTTTTAACATAGTAGAAATCAAATTATCTAAAAGATCTAGAACCATACAGTATTCAATGTCTTTGCAATTAGATCTGAACCTTTTTATAACCTTTTTTCTAATTTTATACCATCCTTTATATGTTAATTTAAATAACAAATTAATTGCCATAGTCTAGGCTTCTTAGCCAATTTTTTGTTTTACCAAAAATAAAGTAAAACTAATCTTGAAAAAAAATTATATTTTATTACTATCTATTCTTAACTATTCAAAGAAACATGTAATAATTCTAATAAAGAAACAAATGAACTAATCTTATAAGGAATATTATAAGAAAAATTATTTAGATTAGTAATTGCTTTACGAATAAAAAGCTGACCTGGCCAGTCTACTATAATGGAAGCTACCTGATTATACAAGTGTTTGGTATCCTTATTAATTTTTAATACAACTTGTAGTGCATCTATATAATCAAATATCGAATGCAAGTTTTTCTTTTGAAACCCAACTAACTGTATATTTTTTGTAAACTGCTTCTTCTTTCACTTTATTATTGCATCATTATAAACATGAATTGTTAACAAATCTATTTGATCAAAATTATTTTTTTTAAACCACCAGATGCAATCCATTGTAACCTTCATATTCTATATGAAATGTCAAATATTTCAGTATATTGATATTCTAATCTAAGACAAATGTTATTCATATTAATATTAAATAAATTGTGAATGTATATATTATTAAAACTAAGAGCAATTGGTGCACATGTCTTTACTGGTTTGCAGATACACATTATTATATGCTTGGTTATTGATAGTGATACTGTGTCTGGGTGTCTTTTCTCATGAATATCATAGTAATCATCCAGATTATAGATATATAAAATATTCATCTAAAAAAAAATAATAATAAGTAAATAAATAAAATAAAATAAAATAACAATAAAATAATAAAATAAATGAATAAAAAATAAATACATTGTATATAAAAAACTGCCAAATGTTTTAAGGATACTTCTTTACAAATTTTTTTTATAATTGTTTATTGTTTCATAGCATGTATAGATACCTAATTTATGCAATATGTTAATGCCTACTGAAGATATTCAGATGCTAATAGGTATAACACAATCTTTAATTTAAAGCTATTGACAAACTTGTTTCTTATATTGACCATCATATAACAGATACTGACTACTGATTTTTTTGCTACCACTTTGTTATTTATAGGTCTTTCATTAAGAATTAGTGCTTTAACCATTTGATTAAAAAATCTATACAGATGACAATCATAACTTTTTATCATTAACTTAAAACAAGTTGAATCAAGTTCAACAAAACCAGATCACTCATGCTAAAGTTTATAAAGAACTTTTGTAAGAATCTGAATTTGTTTTATGAATGTAAGACCATTATTAGAAGAAAAATTTGAAGCATTAAGGATATTTGAGACTGGTATGCTTTCAATATTTTTTTGTTTTATTTTATTAAATAAGATTTTTTTTAAATGATGATCAGGTTCTACAATGTCCAAATAGTGACTAAAACAAATTTTTTGTCCAATTTTTGGGTTACCATAATGTTTTAAAGTTTTTTTTTTTTTGTGCTTTCTCATATGCTATAGGTGTTATTTTGCAAAACTTATTTGAAATTCTGTTACAATTTTTTATAGAACAGGAACCATCGTATTTTCTAACCATGATATAAATTTTTTTTTTTTTTTTTTTAATAATGTTCAGGCTTTATTATAATAAACTTCGAACAATAGTGAAATCTTGATTTCACCAAACTTCCACAACAAATTATTTTCTAACAGTAAACTTGTAAACATTAATTGCGCAGTACTTTTGACGGCCTTTTTTTTTTTGATTAACGGAATGTTTATTCCAATGAAACCGGTTTAAGCAAAACTCTAACTTTATAATCCAGTAAAGCCTTGATTACAAGAGACGATTTCAAATTTATATATATATATATATATATAATGATTTTAACTGGCCAATCATAGTCGAATAATTGTGATCGACAGGCTGCATATTGGCAACCAATAAAACTAAACTCCTGCTAAATAGCACTAATGATATTACGGCAACAACAAATTCAACCAGCTGTTTTCGTGATATCGCTAGTGCTATTTTAGATGCTAGAAATAGCTGGACACTCTGCATAAGATGTCCCTTCCCCTCAGGTATTACGTAATATCTGTAATTAACCTAACATAAAAATTACATAAAATTACAAAACCTATTACATAGGTCTTTTTTTGTGAGAACAATTTTTTGTAGATCTACTCGTGATTTCCCAATCAAAATACATAATTTTTAATTAATATTACAGTACTAAAAACGAAAAAACTTTGTATAAAGAAGCTTACAGACAATTAAGATACGCAAGAAAAGTTTATTATTTATATTTAGAGAATAGATAGACGCGTGTAAAGTGAGTAAATGTTAAATTTAATCTTAAGCCTGGATCTTTTACTACGTACTAACGTAATAAAATAGGTTTAGACGAAAACGTTTCCAGTTACCTGTATAATTTGGTCTGGTTCAATAAACGGTAGGCATATATGGGGTCTTTGCCTTGAAAATGACCTTACGGAACATAGTAAATCATATGATCCAAACTTGATTTTCAAGGCAAAGACCCCATATTATCTTCTAAGTAAAGTTCATGAGAATACTGATTATTTTTGCATAGTAAATATAGACGTTCTATCGATGGTTTTTGCGGTGATTTTTTATTGGTGAAACGTTGTGTTCCCAAAAAGTACTTTAAACTATATAAATAAGTTACCCGGGCAATTGATTTACATCAGCTAATCAGACGAATGTCCACTTATGATGAGAACATACAATTAAATTTGAATTTCACACACGACCACGGGCTTGCTGTGCTCACCCTAAGATGGTAGTTTCGTATTAGTGTATAGTTTTATGGAATTAGAATATCAATATGCAGGGACTCAATAAAATAATGTGGTGTCAATTATCGTTATGCAAACATCTCATGACAAAATAGGAAATATAAAATTCAAATGTAATACTATATACCGAGAACACCCTAATTATCTGGCGGAACAAGGAGTAAAGGGGCATTTGAGAGGTTAATGGTTTCTTACCAAAATGTGTACGTAGTAGTTTGTTAATTAGGGCTTGATATAGTGCATAGAGAAAAGTTTATACTGTATATCAAGATTAGTAACGTGAGCATACTTAAGTATTCATAGCATGGTTTTTATACAAGTCTGTAATCACTTTATTCAACCATATGAAAGTATACACCCAAAGAACGAATTTGATGGCAAGATTTTATTGTATATTTGAGATCTTATCGAACCATAGCACAATATTTCAATGAGTAAAACAAGGAGACAACAAATATTGACTGCAATCAATATCGCGATACAAAGGAGACGTGTTGAACACATTAAATATTGACTGCAATTAATGTTGCAATACAACAATGAATTTCATGCTGCTGTCTTTTGAATTCGGTGAATATTCATTCTCCAAAAAAATATAAAATGACTAAAAAGTTTCCCAGATCTTGTAACTTCTAATTAACTAATAAAGAAGTCTAAAAAGTTTATCAATATGGTTAAACTAGAAGTTCTCTCGCTTTTTGCCATTCTTCTGCTTTGCGCAAGCAACTCATTTGCCGGAGTTATTCCATCTGGGGTTCAAAAATCAATTGGAAATTATGGTAAATCTTATTTAACATATACATAACGATAAAAATAATAATTATAATATCAATTACTCAGAACACGCACAATGCAATTTGCAATTATTAACATATAAATAGAGTTTCCAAAAGATATAAAAATTCCGGAAAATATCACTGTTCCAGAGGGCAATTGTTTTAAATTTTATTTATACGTTAGTGGATATATCTGGTATCAATGTACCAATAGTCAATGGGTATTTGTAAGTATGCGCGTACTTATATTTGTCACGTCGAAATTTGTAGTGCTTACATTATTTAATTATTAGAGGAAGGTCGTGCATTATTTTTTAACCATGAAGAAGACATACCTTCCTACCCCATTTCAGCCGTAGTATCAACATATGCTATTCCAGCTAGTCCAGGCATGTAACAACATAGCCTAATTATTAATGTTGCCGATAAATAAATACAATTTGGGGCAGAATGAATTGTAATTCTGGCTAAATTTGTAATATTTCGAATTAAGGATGAGAAAACTTATAGTTCAGGTCATGAAGGTGTAAAGCTAAATCATCACACATTATAATTTAACGCTTTTATATGTGAATTCATAATTTGGTAACACACCTCTGTGCCCAAACACTACAATTAAAATGCATAAGTATCTGTACAATACCTCATCCATAACCCGAAGTAATTTTAATTTGGCATCTTAGCAATTCTAAAGATATATATATTAATATGATGTTAAATGAATAACTTTGTCTTATTTAGGCGCAATTGGCATTAGGTCTATTATTCCAGAGAGCGATTCTTCATCATTGGTGGTAACCTCTGTTGCTACCTTCCCGCCACCTAATCCAGAAAAAGATCTTCCCTATGGACTTGAAAAAGCTCAAGTAACTATCACAGTTCCATCATGTAGTTCTATTATAAATTGCAATTGTTCATGATTAACTTTTATAAACAGGATAATAAAGGAGAAGGGGTGTTGAAAGATATTACCTATGTAGTTCGTGTCGCTACTGACGGCGGTGCTGCTCCATCAAATTCACTATGTAAGTTAAATTAATAATTTATTATAGATCATTATTATTTATTAATTATATATTCCTATTATCAGGTGGTACTAAATACCCGGAAGGTTATATTTATAGCTCGGATATTAATGCATTAAATTTATTCTATCATCCTCAAAAGTAATATAGTCATTACTTTAGGAATAAGAATTCACTGTATATCAATCTAATATCATTATTTTCTATATGTAAAATTGTAATAAAATATTATAGACAAATATTACTGTGAGATATTATACATTTGTTGTATCCAGAAATGAATTTCTCTAAACTAGGCATTATATGTCCGGAGCAAGTATTAATTATTTTTTATGTGCTGCCATTTGATTGGTTTGATATTACATGCGTGAATGGTATATGTATAATACTAGGAACTGTAAATCTAGAGCATAAGTAAATCGATTATATGCTATTAAGTAAGTTATTCGGGAGATCAAAATACGCAATTACGATAATTTGTTTATTTGATATTTACTTTTACTATTGCTAAATAATTGATATTTTGAACATAAAATGCAAAACCATATTAATAAAAAAAATTATCCGATTTGTATGATATACATATGTATTTTGATCTTTCAAACAACTTTACTTAATAGCATATGGCATACTTTATTAAATATCATCAAATCTTATAATTTACAGATTACTTTTTGTAAAGTACAAGCTCATTCTGACAATGGTCTAAACAATCTTGTCAACTTACTTGCAAAACAGCATAACCTCTCTTCTGACTTATATTTTAACTATACTAATATTTACAATCCATACAATATTTTTTATTGGAATCAACATTTTATAGAATATCTAACCAGAAGTTTTATTAAAAACATTTGCAAAGCTTAGATTTTGATTATATAGTCATCTTAAAAACATAATCAAGAATATAATTTTCTTATTTTAGAAATAAATTGGAAATCTATATAATTATATATCTATTATAATTAAAAATCAATATAAAATTTGATCAATTTCAAACTTAACTATCTTAATCTTTTAAAAACAAAACTTTACTAAATGAACTTCATACTTATTTTCTTTGACATAAAACATATTTACATATTTTTTTTAATATAAACTGTTTTTATTATAATTTATTTAATACTTTAACATATTGGTAATTTTTTTTTTTTTTAGTATTAAGGTGATCTCTTTGGTTTTTTGACCTTTATTAATAACTTATTGGTAATGTAATTTTATGAACTACTATAGAAAAGAGTACAATTGGTTATACATGTAACTATTCTATATTACCTATTTAAGGAGTCCACTTAAAGGTTCTTTATCAATTGTTATACCTAACACCCTGCTTGAATATTCTACTTTAAACCTTATAAACCTGTAATCTGTTTTAATTCACTAGATTATACCTAAATGTCCAGATCATTATCTCAATCTTAAAACTAATTTATCTTTAAGATAAACCTCTCAGAGTTTTCTGTACCTATTTTTATAGTTGATCTAGGTATTGCTATAAGAGAACTAACACTTGTAGTTAGAATTATATTATTTAACTACTATGCTTTTATAGAGTTCATACAAATCTCAAAATCTACTTCATAGCATAACTCTAGTACTTTAGTATACTCCTGTCTTTTTACTTATCTTTTTATCAAATTTCTAATCTAGATAGCTTATATAAGACTATAATTAGCCTATCAGTATATCAGATCAGCTTGATATTTTTTTTTTGATTTAATTTAGTAACCTGATTGATGGTATCTCTGAGATTCCTAATCTAAAGATTCTTATCTATCTGACTACTATAACCAGGTACTATAATTTTGGTATTTGTTTTTTCAAACTAGTCTTTACAATAAGATTATTGAAGATCTAGTTATTTCTTTATTCAGGTCTTCTCAAATAAATTTTTTGTTACTTAATTTCAACAGATTTATACAGTTATAAGTACTTATTTAATGTTTGCATTGCCTAATTTATCAGTTTGCATTCCTTTATATAATAGGTTATACAAATGTTCTATAACTTGTCAGTTATATTAGTTAAGCTAATTATTAGTAACAGTTACTATAATATAAATATTATATAAATAATTATTCAAATTTTTGATATTGATAAGATTTAAATATCTAATCTACCACTTGAAGTGTTGACAATCTGGCTATTTCACTAGGTCACCACATCTTTGTAAATATATTCTAATCTAGTTTTATTTTCTAATATTATATAAAATATTAATTTTAAATATATTAATTAAACTAATCTAGATCTTTTTAAAATTTAATAAAAAAACTTTATTTAAAAAATCCTAAATCATGAAACCTTCTACAATATATCACTTTATCATAATTTATTTTATTTTAATATTATACTTAAAGGTCTTATACTTAAATTTTTAATCAAAATTATTTAATACTTTAATGTATCATAAATAATTATTAAAATATTTCTTAAAATTAATAAATTTTATTATAAACAATTTTAAAAACTATAATATATAAACATTTTTTTTGGTATTAAAGTAATCCTTTTGGTTTTTTGATTTTTATTAATAATTTTTTTAGTAATATGATTTTATAAATTATTACAGAAAGAATATATAATTAGTTATTTGATATTTTATATAATCATGTGAATTTTTTTGTTATAATATTTTTTTGCATAAAATTATATAATCAGTTTTACAAAATATTATAGAAAAAACTTTACATAGTCATATTAACTATCTAATAACTTACAAAATTTTATCACCTTTTAACTATATAGCTCTATCTGGCAATAGTACAGCTATCTCTATACACATTCTTAACAATATTATCGAAGAAGCTTTTTGTAATTCTAAACAGCTTTGGCTCCTATCTCAGGACAAGAGCAAAGCTTATGACTCTGTAGACCTAACACTTTTTACCAAATCCTTATTATGTCTAAACATGCCATCCAATCTTATTAACATTCTTACCAACTTGCTTACTAATCGACATAACTGAGTTATCACAAATTTAGATTTTACTAACTTATACAATGTTTAAAATGGCATTGACCAAGAAGAAACTATAACTTCTTTATTTTGAAGAATTTATTATAATCATCTAATTAACAAAATAGCCTCAGACTTTTCAGAATACACTTTGGCTACAAAGTGGAACACTGTCTGCTTTAGCCAAAACCTCAACAACTTCAAACCTTAGTATCTGTATTAGCATACATGAATAATACACTTTAGATAGCCAAATCTAAAGAAGAATTACAAATAATTATTGCTATAGTCACCTCTTTTTACTATATGGCCGATATACAAATTAATCCAACTAAATCAATCCTTATCTCAAACACCTTATCCACAGCCCCTATTCATTTCTTTAATTCATCACTTATACATACTCCTGCCAACCAGCCATTTAAATTCCTAGGATGCTGGTTTACTCTTAATAACTCTCTTACAAAACAAAGCCAACTAATCTATGATGAAGCAATCCAACTCATCAACATTACAGGCACCAAAAGAATTATAGACAAACAAGCTATATATATTACCAACACAGTAATTATTTCTACTATCAAATACAGATTACACAACATAATTCTCAAACATTCTACCTGTGACAAAATTCTATCCAAATACCTTACTATAATTAAACATAAAGCCAAACTTTCTTACACTAGTCCTAATAGCACCATGCTAAACTCTCATATATATAATGTATATAATATTTGAGACATTTAGTTATAACATCATATATTCTGCTTTCAACAAAGAATTAACAACTCAGGTACACTTGGCATCTCTACAAAAATTAGATTACAGCAACTTCAAAACAATTTTTGGTCTGCTACTAATATTCTCTAGCACAACCAACCACTTATTGATGAACCCAACAAACTTACACTTAACTTTAAAATTATACAATTTCTATAGCACTTGGGCATTTCAATTTTAACAAATTCTGATGTCTTGTAGCATAATACAAATTATGATAGTTATCAACATTAGAACCTATACTTATTCAACACTCTAAATACAATATTTTTAGAAAACAACTTCGAAAAAACAACATACTCTATTTAGAACAATTATGTACTGCAGACAACAGTACTCTACTCAAATGGCACCATCTTTTACACAGACTTTATCATCTAACTAAAGGAAGGCAACCTCTTTGGTTCACCTATCTTGAAGACACAATCTTGTCTAACAGACTACATCATCTAATTCTCCCTTATTTTTAACCATCTGGAGTTAATGCCTTTGTATATAACACTTCACCTATTAAAAAACAATTAAAACCATGATTACTTATATATAATAACAATAATGAAAAGATCATTATTGGCAAAATTTGTAAATATTTTTCAAACACAAATCAATTCTCTATTTTATACTAGAATGCTAATATCGATTTAGAACATAATTATTACTACTCTTTTTCAGATCTGAACTGCACACTATGTACTAGATGTTATCTTAATTCAAATAGAATTAATCAGATATGCACAATTAATGTATCAGCAACTATTTGTATCAGCTTTCTGAGAAAGAAAAACCTCTAAACACAAACCTAATGCTAACTACCTGGACCTTATTTACTCAACAGCAATTAAATATCCTTTATGAATCCCATATAATTATTCTACTATCAATATATCAAATTCAACTAATATTGAAAATTTTAAACCTAATAAATGTTCAAACAAACTTGAAGAAATTTTTCAAAACAATCTGTCATATAAGGAATTCATTTTTTATACTGACAGATCAGTAACTAATATTGGAACTGAAAAAAGCTCAATGGGCATTGGATGGGTTCAAGTAATAATAACAATCAAATTTTTCACAAATTCTCAGCCAAAATTCATTTCTGGCCATCAGCCTATAAGGCAGAGCTCTTCTCTATTTTATCAGCAATTTCAACTATACCCTATAATGCAATATTTCAAATTTATACTGACTTACAATCTGTTATTTCTAAATTTTATAAACTTTCTACTCAACTTAATAATTCTAACAAACTCTTTAAATTCAAT